TAGTTTGACCTAAGATCGGATTTTACCGGAACATATACATACATGCATCGGCACATGTAACTAACCCAGTCTTTATTTGACCTGCCACAAAAAATGGTAATGAAAACGATTTTCCAGCAAAATTGTGTAGATAGAGGATTTTGCTTTTGTAACAAAATGTTATTGCAGATAGTGGATTTTTCAAAATGAGAATATAATACCATAAAAGCAAAATTTTAAGTTTGGCATTATTGTCATGGCTGAAGGATAAATAAGAGCTCACGTTACCATCAAAAACTCATTTTCATCAAAATTGTAGATAGAGGGTATTGAATATAAGCCCTCGATGTAATACATACAATACATGAAGAGAGTTTTTGCCAACAGCATCAGATCTGAACCGATTATTCGATTTTCAAAACTGAGGTGCTAAATTAAAGGGCTTTGCCTCTAGATGTATGTACCACAAGGCATGACTTTTTTGAATAGGGTTGCCACCATTTTTCAAATTATAAAATCTGCACCGTTCGTTGTATTAAAACAGAAGAGGTGCCAAATGAAAGAGCTAGGCCTGTAGATGTGCAACACGATTGAGAGAATACAAAGGTTGCGCCGATCTCGGACCGCTATTCCTCTCTTAACGAATTTGACAGAATCGTTGTTTGCATGACGTCACACTGNCATCAAAATTGTAGATAGAGGGTATTGAATATAAGCCCTCGATGTAATACATACAATACATGAAGAGAGTTTTTGCCAACAGCATCAGATCTGAACCGATTATTCGATTTTCAAAACTGAGGTGCTAAATTAAAGGGCTTTGCCTCTAGATGTATGTACCACAAGGCATGACTTTTTTGAATAGGGTTGCCACCATTTTTCAAATTATAAAATCTGCACCGTTCGTTGTATTAAAACAGAAGAGGTGCCAAATGAAAGAGCTAGGCCTGTAGATGTGCAACACGATTGAGAGAATACAAAGGTTGCGCCGATCTCGGACCGCTATTCCTCTCTTAACGAATTTGACAGAATCGTTGTTTGCATGACGTCACACTTGTGCAACTTGTTTACGTTTTCCTTGCAACATTTTTTCTTCTTCTTCCATTCTTGCCCACGTTTTGGCATTTCTCTCTCGCAATTGCACCAGTGTGACGTCACACAAAAGTTATTCTCAAAAATCCTCTCTGATCGGCGCAATCTTGTATTCTATCATTCTTGGATGTGCAAGAAGATCTCAAGTTGTTGAATAGGGTTGCCACCTGCTTCTAAAATAGAATAATTACACCGTTCCTTGTCTTAAAACAGGATAGGTACCAAATAGAATGGCCTGGCCTGTAGAAGTGCAGGAAGATCTCAATTTTTTGAAGAATAAAATAGAAGACTTACACCGTTCGTTGTATTAAAAGAGAAGAGGTGCCA